ATCTATATAAATACATTGCCATATATACATAAATACATATAACTCTACCCATCTATATACATACATTGCCATATATACATATACAAATGTATACACACATAAATGTATATATACACTTATATATTTATATATAAATTCATTGCCATATATACATAAATCTATAAATTGATCCATCTATCTATATACATTGCCATATATACATAAACACATATAAATCGATCCATCTATACCCATACATTGCCATATATACATATACACAGGTATATACGCACATGTGCGCACACACACACACACACACACACACACGCACACACACAGGCACACAAATGATGCCCAAGCACCCCACGCTGAGGCACAGCAACGGGTGTGCGCCTTACTCCCAACACTCCGGGCAAGGGGAGGCCCTCAGCTCGCACAATGACCGCACACCGTACCTCTCCAGTGAATGCAGGAAGTCGGTCATACAGGTCCTGAACAGGGCGTCTGCTACGTTCAAGGCTCCACAGACCACCCCAAGCATGATGTCGGGTTTCTCAGCCTAGGAAGGAATGACTTTTCAGTAGGAGCAGAGGCCTGTCCCCTCAGCAGGGAGGGCGCCCAGGATCACGGAGCCGGAGAAGGAAAAGGGGCCTCGATGGCCGTGAGTCCAGCCCCTCCATGGAAGATTACTCATGCTAACCTAATCAACAAGTGATGGTTGGCTGGCCGCTGCTTGGAGACCCGTGAGGACGGGGAGCTCCCCACCTCTCAAGGGCACCAGGAGGACAGACCGAGGCCAGGGAGCCCCGGGGAGGCTCCGAGAGAAGGGGACCACATCCTCACCTGCACTCTCTCGGCGATCAGGTGATCCAGCCAGCCCGTGTCGATGTCGTTGCTCTGGAAGCTCTCTGTCTCCAGCAGGTTGATGAGGTACTCCACCGTGGTCCTGAAATCTCCCCGGATCGACAGTTCTTTCAGGGCCACCACCATGTTCCTTAGAAACACACATTTCCCAAATCAGGACAAATCCTTTCAACATTGGCTCGCCAAACCTCCCACATACAAGGGCGTCCCTCTACTCCTTAGAATTATCGACTCCGGGTGAAAGCCAAGAGTCCTTCGAAGATGAGATTCTCATGATCATAGATCTGGACTGTGGGGACCACTGAGTCCCATCCCCTCATTTTTACAGTGGAGGCAACCGAGGCAGAGGTTAAGCAACTTTCCTAGACACCATTAGCAAGTGTCTGAGGCAGGATTTGAACTCGGGGTTTCCTGATTCAAATCTAGCGCTCTACCCACTAAACCCCTCGGCTGCCCTAGAAGGCACTTAAAGCAGAGATACCGGGCCTCTCCTCCCCTCTCCCACCTGGTGTCTACTTCCCAGTATTACACAAAAAGCAGATTATTGATCAGGAAGAGAGGGAAGAGCGGAAGGGCACAGGGTCTGGGGGGGGGCCACTCACGAGACGGCCTCTTCTCGGTTCTCCCCCCAGGAGAAACAGTGCCCAAACTGGGAATCCGCAAACTCGTGTAAGCCCCCCGCCGCGGCCACGCTGAAGTAACCCCACACGTTCTTGCTGCTTCGGAAATTCAGCTCCTGGACGGTCCCAGAGCTCGGCTTAAAGCCCTGGAGACGATAGGAAAAAAAATCAAACTGAGGGCTGGGTCAGAATAGAAACCGAATGTCATTCCCTGGGTGCGTGAGACACTTAACAGAGATGACGGCAGATGCCCCTTCATCTGGTTACAAGGTGTGGCCGGTGCCGGGATGTTCACACCATCCGCAGCCCGCTCACGGCTCAGGCTCTGACTCGTACAACCCACCAGATAAGTAGAGACAAGGCAGGACAAGGGTGCTTTGGTGTCGGGAGAGACCTGGATTCAGATCCCGCCTGAGATGTAGCACAGCTATGTCCCAAGGAGACATATCTACCATTCAACCCTCCCAAGCCTCCGTTTCTGTAAAATGCAGGGAAATAACACCAGCAGCACTTGTCCTCATAACTGACGAGAAGGAAGGGAACAAGACCCGTACACAAAGTAGACCTGAAAGGAAGGGTAACTGCCCGCTGGGTTTTCTCCCTTCTCCGGGCCTCAGTTTCCCCACATTTCCAGCCCTTGTCTTGCCTCATCCGGGTTTTCGCTGGTGATCCTCGCAGCAATCACGTGGCCTCGGGGAACCGGTGGGCTGACGGGGTTGTCGAAGGAAATTGGCGTGACGCCCCAGGGTGACTCCCCATACAAGATCCGGATGTCCTTCAGCCTGTTCAGAGGCACCCCCATGGCAATCTGTGGATGAAGGAGAAAGGTTTTCACATCAGCCTCTGATGCTGTAAAAGGGGTGGCTTGTCAGCCCTACAGCGCAGGTCCGTCTCTGGACCCATGGAAGCCGGCACCGTGCCCTACTTGACAGGCACCGAGACTTGGAAGCAGGAGGCCCCGAGTTCAAATCCCTCCTCAGACACTAACCTAGCTGTGCAACCTTGGGAACGTCGCTTGATCTCTCTCGCGCAGATGGTAATAGCAGCTGCCTACCTCAGAGGGTCAAAAGAAATCCTTCCAATATCATAATCCAATGAGCACTTTGCAAACTGCAGAGGGCCGTGTGTGAATATTGGGGAGGATGAGGAGGACGAGGAGGGTGTGCCAAGCACCAACTGGGATACAGAAAAGTCTGAATAAAAGACAGTCCTCTTCCCTGAAAGAGCCGGATAACCCAATGAGCACATACAATATTTAGGTAAATGTCAGCCAATTCAGCCAACATGCATTAACCAGCTAACACACACAAAGACCCTCGCGAGGGCTGGGGGACACAGAGATCAAAATCCATGACCCAATCTCCATCCCGAGGAGTTTATATTTCACAAATGCAACACGGGAAATGTGGCACAATGGGGGACTTGGGGTCCACAGGGGACAGATCATTGTGACGGGCTCTCTTGCCTGTTTGGGGTTGTTTTTTTTTGACCTTACCAGGCTCATCTTACCAGACTCAATGCCAACAGGGCCATTTAATACTATACAAATTATTCCCTAAAGGAATTCACCATGGACAGAACAAAAAAGAGACTGGCAGCATCTCTCCTCCATCTTATCAGAGACACTGACAATACGTAAGCTTGTGTCACACTTACTTGTATGAATGAATGGACATTTATTGAGCACTTACTGTGTGCCAAGTGTTACAATGCTGAGTGCTGGGGATAAAAGAGGGCATTTATTTCTTTTTTAATTTTTTTTGGAGGCAATGGGGGTTAAATGACTTGCCCAGGGTCACACAGCTACTAAGGGTCTAAAGTCACATTTGAACTCGGCTCTTCCTCACTCCAGAGTTAGTGCTCTATCCACAGTAACACCTAGCTGTCCCTAAGGGGGCATTTGTTGAGCACTTACTGTGTGCCAAATGTTACAGTGCTGTGTCGGGGATAATAGGGGGCATTTATTAAGCACTTACTGTGTGCCAAGTGTTAGTGCTGAATGTTGGGGATAAAAGGGGGCATTTACTGAGCACTTACTATGTGCCAAGTATTACAGTGCTGAGTGTTATGGATAAAAGGGGGAATTTATTGAGCACTTATTATGTGCAAAGTGTTACAGTGCTGAGTGTTGGGGATAAAAGGGGGCATTTATTGAGCACCTGGGGATAAAAGGGGGTTCACAGTCCAATGGGGGAGGGCTCAGCTGCAAGTCTGAAGGGAAGGCTGCAGCAGCCAAGCAGATGTCAGGCATCTTGTTTACTGTCATTTCCATGGATGCCGAACCATTTGGCGGTGCTAAGCACTGGGGTATCCTTGGAGGCACCAACTGGGTCTCCTTCATCTGTCTTTCTCCCTCGGTGCCCAGAAAGTAGCATCAAACAGAGCAGCCTCTTACTAATGTTTCATGAACGAACGCAGCCCAATGTATACCCTCCCCTCTCCCCTGACAGGCAGGAACGCAGCTCTCCCCACCCCACGCCAGCCTACGTGGGAGGATGCTCACCTGCAGCTGAGCGGCTGGCAGATTGACATCGGCGATCATCTCCGTGCAGGGATGCTCCACCTGCAAACGCGGGTTCAGCTCCAGGAAATGGAAGTGGCCATCTTCGCTGTAGAGGTATTCCACGGTTCCCGCGCTCACGTAGCCCACCGTCTTGGCCAAGCGCACAGCACACTGTGATGGGAAAGGACAAAGGGAGAAGCCAGGGAGGCGATGGGTTTCTCTCCACTCAACAGACCCTGATAACACCCCCATGTAGTCAGGGCTCTAGGCTCAGGGCTGAGGACACAGGTGGTGCCCCCTCCTCTAGGTTACAGCCAGATGCAGAGAAGAGCCCACCCAAACACGAGGGAGAATGAGGCGGAGGAAGGCAGAGGACTCAGACACAACCAGGCAAGGAGGGAGTTCATCCATGTAGCAATCACACAAGGCCATGAAAGGAGATGCATTCCCCTCAGTCCATTAATCGCAGGAGTATGTCAGAGGCGTGAGGACCTTCCCGGTTACTGGCCCTCTTTTCCCCATTAGGAAGAGGAAGCTTCCAGACCAGCCTCACAACATCTGAGGGGTGGAAGGGACCTCAGTGCCAGCTAGGTCCTGTGAAGTGGTCATCTGGTCTCTGCTTGGAGACCTTTAAGGAGAAGGAACTCGCCGGTTCTCCAGGCAGCCTCTTCCACTTTGGAATGGCTGATGACTGGGCAGGTTTTCCTGACGTTGAGCTGAAATTGGCCTGTCCCTGCAACTTCCACCTGGTGTTGCCCTCTGAGGCCAAAAAGAACAAGATAAATCCTTTTCCCGCATGCCCCCATGCTGGGTAGGAGCTCATCCATTCGATTTTCATGCTCCAACCTGGAACTGAGCAGTTTTAATTGCTGGAAGAATCACTGAGGCCAGCCCCAGACCATGTTTCACATCCTCGCCAGGGACCCACAAGAACACCAGGACCTGGTGAGCATGAGCCCACCCCACCACCTTCCACCTTGTCTTCTTATTCTGGTTGTGGTGGCCAATCTAACGCTGCCATTGCTGCAGGAAAAGCCAGGCCGATTTATGGGCCCCACGCTCCATTGGCGATCCTTGTGACCTCACACCAAAACTCCCTTCCTTGAACACCTTTACATGGACCGTCTCCCCATACTAGACTATAAGCTCCCTGAGGGCAAAGGCTAGTTCACTTTTGTACTGGCATCCTAGAGTCTGACACATTGTAGGGCATACAGTAGGTGTTTTAATAAATCTTCCCTCCCTCTCTTCCTTCCATCCTCCTTCCCTTCTTTCCTTCCTTCCTCCCTCAACCTCCATCCCCCCTTCCTTCATTCCTCCCTCTCTTCCTTCCTTCCTCCCTCCTTCCTTCCCATCCTTTCTTCCTCCCTCCTTTCCTTTTCTTCTTTCTTTCCTTCCTTCCCTCCTTCTCTTGCTTCCTTCCTTCCCCTAGACTGGTCCTTTCTCTGCCTGACGGATCCATCATACAACATGCCTAACAAAAGGCAGTCTACTCCCTTCCCCCGCCCCTCTAAAGATGGGAACTCCCTCCATCCTGAAGTGACCCCAACACCCTTGTGGAAAGCTCTCGTCATTGGCAGAGCCTCCTTGTACTGAGCTCCCATTTGCTTCCGCGTCACCGCGTCACCCACCAGACCCAGGTCTGCTGTCAGGGACCAAAGAGAATCCTCAGCTTTTGCCCATAAGAGCTCCCATCTGTCTAACCCAGGGATCGCCTTTTCCACGCAGCCTTTGTTTGCAGACCCCCAACACAAGGAGCTGACAGTCTCCGGAGGTGCCCGCTCCACTGCTGTGGACCTCTCCCTGCTGGCAAGTTTTTCCTTCTGTCACACACCTTTGTCATCTTGGCTGTCCCCCTCTGGACCCTCTGCAGCTCAATGTCCTTCCTAAAATGCAGTGGCCTAGAACCGAGCCCAATATTCCAGAGGTGGTCTGACCACAGCTGAGCACAGCAATAAGTGTAGGACTGGAATCAGAGGTCACAGGTCCAAATACCATGTCTGATGCAGCCGCAGGGCCCCAAGCAAGCCCCTCCCCTTCTCTCTGCCTCAGTTTCCTCATCTGTAAAAAGAGGAAAGTTGGCCTCTCTGGGCTCGAAGGCCCCTTCCAACTCTGAATTTATGATCCCACAAGCTTTCTGAGTACATGTGGAATCCTCAGGACACCAGGGGCCTTCAGCATCTTCTCTAACACATCCGTCAGCCTCTGGCACGGTGCCTTTCTCGGAAACACAGGGGCCACCCCCAAATTTTCTGATATCCTATTTTTTACTAATGTGGGTCGGGGGGATCAGGGCAGCTGAGTTTGATACAAGCTCAAAATGTCATTTCCTTCAAGAATTGACTCCTCCTCGAGGGATTGCGAAAGAGCAAAAACAACACCCGATCTCACGGCACATTTGGGAATTATTTTTCATCTGAGAAGTTTCAGAATTCATCAAGCGAGCCTTCCTCTTGAAAGGGAAGTCCTTGTCTGGTGCCGAACCGCAGGGAGGCTGGGGATCATGTTCCGTACGTGACCACAGAAAGGTATCTCCACTTCTTGTCCACCAAGACCCTTTTTTTTTCCTTCTTTCCAAAGAGGCTGAGCTCAGCATTGATTTGGTTGAAACCCCTTAGCAGGATCCCTCTGGGACCCTTCACACTAACCATCCAGCCCTTCAGAGAGATGCCAACATTTTCTGGAATTTCTAGGTAATGGGGTTAAGTGACTTGCCCAGGGTAACACAGCTAGTAAGTGTTATGTGTCCGAGGCCGGATTTGAACTCAGGTCCTCCTGAATCCAGGGCCGATGCTCTATCCACTGTGCCACCTAGATGCCCCATTTTCTGGAATTTCTAGGTGCTTAGAATGATCTTTATCAGCGCTGGGTATAGGATTCAACCCCAGGTCTTCCTGACCCCAAATCCAGCACTCTACCCAGCAAGGGTATGTAACCTTTCCTGTGCTGGGAACTCCCATTTGGAAGACTAGGGACCCCATTCTTCTCAGAATAATGTTCTTAAATCATTGAAAGAAATGCTAAGTTCTAGTTAGAGGTTAGTGAGAATAAAGATGGGTATTTTTTTTCCTACTCGAGTTCACAGACCCTCTGAACTCTATCCATGGAGCCTGGGGGTCATGGGCCTCAGGTGAAGAGCCCTGCTCTCCCTCCAGCTTGCTACCTCTAACCAAGGGAGATTCAGAACGAAAACACGGAGAACACGCGAGCTGGAAAGTGCTCGACCTCATTTTACAGTTGGCAAAGCTGGGACACACGTAGAGTGATTCTAAGTGATGTCACAGCAGCAGACCCAGGCACAGAAGCTAAGTGTTCCTACTCCTAAGCCTGGGGCTCTTTTTCTAAAATAGATGAACATTCCCCATGAGGCAGACCGGCCAGGAGGCCGCTTTGCTCCTCAGCGAGACTGGCCAGACCTCCCCCAGCCCATGCTCAGACCCCAGGAAGCTCACCTGCTCCATGTGCTCAAACACCATGGGCATGGCAATCGTGGCGGGCGCCTCCTCTATGATTTTCTGGTGCCTCCGTTGTATGGAGCAGTCTCTCCCGAAGAGCGACACGGCGTTCCCATACTGATCGGCAAGAATCTGGACTTCCAAGTGCCGGGCGTGCTGAGCCAGCTTCATGACGAAAACGGGGGAGCCCGGGATCTCACTCTGCACCTGGAAAGAAAGCGAGGCCACTGAGTCTGAGCGAGGGCAAGCCTTCCACGCAAAGAACGGACCACAGCCCTCGAATGCTCTGATTTCTGAAAGATGCATACTTTATATTCTCAGATTTCTTACCCTCTCAGTGGGTGGGACAAGGGTGGGAGGGAGGAAGAAAGTTTGGAACAGAAAATAAAAATTAAAAATAATTTTAAAATAAATTTTTAAAAAGAAGAAAAAAAGTCTATAGCTATGTATAGACACCTATATAGCCATAGATAGATGCTCAATCTGGGGAGTGGGATCATGGAATCATAGAGAATCCGTGACAATGAGAGCACCCATTTTTATAGGACTTTAAAGTTTGCTAAGCACTTTACAAATGGTATCTCATGAGCTTCACAACAACCCTGGGAGGAAGGTGCCACTGATATACCCATTTTAGAGATGAGGAAACTGAGGCAGAAGAGAAGCCACAGTAAGTCTCCCCTCCACATCTTCTGTAATGTGAGTGACCTCCTTGTGGTTCCTCCAGCAAGATGCTTCCTATCCTGATTCAGGGCATTTTCACGGCTGGCCGGCCCCCGGGGTGGGAATGCCCTTCCGGACCTCTGACTCCGGGCTTCCTGCAAACCTCAGCTAAAATTTTGCTTTTGCAGGTCGTCCTCAATGCTGGCGCCTTTCCTCTGAGATTCTATGTGCACGGGTACTATTCACACATACATACATGCATATATACATACATACATACACATGCACACAGGTGTACTCTCTATACAGATATACATATGTACAGTACTATGTATACGTATGCATATATTATATATACATACATACATGTGTGCTATCTATACTCATACACACATGCTTGCATATGTAGACATTTACTATATACACACACATTTACACATATGTCCCACCTCTATACACACACATATACATGTACTCTCTATATATGTATGTATACACATATGTATATAGTGCGTTATCCGTATAAGTAAATGTGCATTGCCTCAATGCACACATATATGCATATACACGCATATGTACTATTTATACATACACACACACTGTGTACACATGTGCTATATACTGATATACATATATAACTATACCTACATATGTGTGTGCATATATACAAATGTATGTGCATGTACATGCATATGTGAACTGTGTAGAAATATGATACATACGTGTGTGTGTGTCTATGTATGTGTACATGCATGTATGAATCTGGACAGCATGTCAGTGGATGGCGCATCGCCTCTGTCCCCATTAGAACGCGAGCTGATTGAGGGGAGGAGCCTTGTTCTTGGCTCTCTTTGAATCCCAGCACGTGGCGCCGTTCTGGGCAGGAGGTGACCGGTTTGCTCACTGCCTCTGATGTCAGAGCTCCCAGGACAATCAGAGGGCGACAGTATACCTCCCCACAGTCACGTCCAAGGTCAATGACAGAGACAGAAAGAAGCCCGGCCTCCTGAGTCTCCGGCTAATGTTCTTTCTGCTATCGTGTTCTGTTTCCCCAGTTAATCATTCATAGTATAAAGACTTAATTGTGATCTAAAAATATTCCCTTGATCAACACCATTTTTAATATTTCCTACGAAGTAAACAAAAACAGACCGGAGAAATACTTTTCTTAATCTCAGTCTCAGTCACAGAAAGAGTCAAGAATAGTGGAGCGGGCTCTGTGTTTTAGAGCCAGAACATCTGGGTTCAAAACCCGGCTCTTTTACTTACTAGCTTCATGACCTTGGACAGGTCACCTCCCTTCCCTCAGCTTCAATTTCCCCTTCTGTAACACGAAAGGACGATAAGACACAGCCTCTGCAGTCCCTCCCAACTAAAAATCTGTGACCCTACTATCTTGTAAACACACACACACACACACACACACACACACATACACGCTGCTTCATCAATGCCCCTTGGACAGGGTTATAGGAAGCATGGGCAGCAGTCATGGGGGACTTTGGAACACTTGTCAGTGCAGGCTCAGGACAGGCCTCAGAAGGGGGCTGGGTCTTACTTGTCTGAAGAGGTTAGGGAAATCCTCAGCACTCTCCGCTTTCCGGATCCCTTTCCCTCCTCCTCCTTCCGAAGCTTTGATCATCACTGGGAAGCCAATTTTTTCTGCCGCCTGAACACAAAAGGCAAAAGGACCCCCGTGAAAAGTAAGGAAGCTCCCGGGGCTCCCGACCTGAACTTGGTGCCAGGGGTCTGGCTTACCTGCAAACCTTCCTCCACATCCTTCACACAGCCCTTGGCGTATGTTTCTGGAGGGACGCTGATTCTCTTCATCTGCTGGAGATACTCTTCCTGCCATTCCACGACAAGACCTAGAACCGCAGCAGAGGGAAGCTTAATGAAGGCTGGAAAAATACGGAGGAGGAATCCCTGTGGCCGGGAATGAGGGGCCAGCCCCCTGCCAGGAGGGCCAGGCCCAGGTCCTGACACATCCAGGCAGGCTGTCCTGTGCTGACAATCAATCTCCTAGCCAAGAAAATCACAAACAAGGGAAGCCTGAGACTTAACCTTTGCTTTGTTTATTTCTGAGAAGACTCATTCTGTTCACAGATACTGCTTTTTAAAAGTGTGGCATCCCATGAATTTAGAAAACCAGGCTATGACATCCTAAGTGGAAGGGAGAAAGATCAGAGGGGGGAGGCCCAGCTTCACACCATCCACACGCCCCCAGTCTGACTCCATTGCCAGGGGCCTCCTCCCTGTCCTGGTCCAAGCCACGGCCCCTCCGCAATCCAGCAGAGCAGCCTTGTCCCTCACACCTCTAGAGTGTGATAAAGTTTGAGAAGCCTTCTCCTTACAATGAGTGACGCTGGGGATGCAAACATGATTATACCCATTTTACAGATGAGGAAGTGAACCGATTTGTCAACAGCCTGCATCGGGGATGGATTTGGTGATCAAACCCCCAAATCCTGGCTCCATCTTCTGGGCTCCCTAAGTGGCTGCTGCAGCCCAAAGACTGGTGTCAGTACAACAGCAAGAATGCTAACGGCCATGGCCAAAGCCGCCATCCAAGAAGCCATAAGTGGCATGGGGCAGGGGGGCATTCCCCCAGCAAGGGCGACTACATGGGCAGGGGGCACACTGGAGTCATTGTCCAACGCCACCTGCCCATGCCCCATTATGGGAGGTTTCTTCCACCCTAGGAATCAAAATGGCGGAGAACGAGAGCCCCCTCTTACCACTTCCACTCCATGGCAGTGTAGGAATCTGCAGGGTCTGTGCCACTATGGTTGAAGCAACCTTATCTCCCAGCGCCCACATGGCATCACTAGGAGGGCCTTAAGAGGGAAGAAAGAAACACACATTGATAAAGTGCCTACTATGTGCGGGGCATCGTACCTAAGCGCTTTACAAACATTGTCACTGGATCCCCACAACCACCCTGTGACATAGGAGCTTTGCAAACCCAGAGTGCCCTTAGCACCATCGCCGGGAGCCCCATTCTAATGCCGCGGCCGCTGCTGGGGCTGCCAGCCTCCTCCAAAAGGGGGATCTCTGCGTGAAACCCAGTTCCCAGCCTCACCTAAGAAAGCAATGCCGTGTTTCTGGAGCAGTTCTGGCAGTTTGGGGTTTTCTGAGGCGTGGCCCCACCCAGCCCACACAGCCTAAAAACAGAAAAAAATGCTTTTCATCACAGCAAGGCATGACCTCTCTGCCCAACACCAAGAGTCCCACGGGTTCCCAAGCCTGGCCAGAGCTGACTTGCCGGCCAATGGTGAAAAATCAGCCCGTCGCCATGGCCACTCAAGAGATGCTGAGGCTTCTGAGGCCCCCACCCCATGCATATGCCCCCTTCCATCACCTGCACTGGAAGTCGCTTGGAGATATCCACTATCAGCTCTACGTTGGCATAATTGTTATTGTTGGGCCCTCCTGGAACAGGGACGTAGTGATCCGCCATCTTGATGTACTCTGTCATTCAAGAGAAAGGAACAGAAACACCTAATTACGGGCAGCAGGACTGTAAGCGCTAAGGGGGTTTGACCACATGGAAGGGAGTGTTCTGACCAGAAGAAATCAAGCCCCCTACCCTGGGACAGACTACATCTGGGGCACATACATAGGGTTCTGTTCTAGGGGCCCCATTTCACGAGAGATGTCAACTCACTAGAGAATGCAGAGTGGGGAAACCCAGGCATAGAAAGACTGGGTGAAGGGCCTGGGGAGGGTCAACTGCAGGGGACGAGATAACCTCCGGGGACTAGATGGTCTGTATTGTGGGAGAGGGACTGATTTTGCTTTGTGGGCTTCCAGCAGAAGCAAGTAGGAATGGTGGGCCAAAGAAGATGAGCCTGGGCAGGGGGGCCACTGCCAGCTCTGCTCCCTTTGGCCAGGTCATAGTTCCCTCTCTGAACCTCAGTTTCCTCTTCTGTATAACAAGAGGATCGTGCTAGATGATGCCAAAGGTTCCTTCCAGACACCTTATGGGGCTAAGTCACAAAGAGGCAGACTTTGGCTCAAGCTGAAGCATTAACTACCTGCTACAGCTATCTGAGAATGGAAGGGGGATCCTGGTGAGGCAGCAGTGTCCCTATGACCTCTGCTCAAGCATTTCTTAGGAAAAGTGTAGAGGGGATTCCTGTTCTGGGCAACGGCCAAGCTAGGGAATCCCTGAGAGCTTAGAAAAGAGCCGTCCACAATCAGGGACCATGCAATCTGTGGGCCTCTTGTACAATACAGTCTCAGGCAGGATTCCCTTCCACAAGGACTCAGACGAGAGCCGTCAAGTCAGCAAACCTTTATTAAGCACCTAATGCGTGCCGGCTAACACAAAGAAAGGCCAAAGCCAGGCCCTGCTCTCGAGGTGCTCACAGTCTAATGGGGAGACAGATAATACACAAATAACTGTGTACTAATAATATATAAATGGGGAAAACTGGAGATGATAACCGAGGCAGGGCAGGAAGATTAAGGAGGCCTGGGAAAGGTTTCTTGGGGACGTTGAGATTTTAGCTGAGACTTGACAGAAGCCAGGAGGCAAAAAGATCTAGGGATGGGGGATGGCCAGGACCCGAGGGGGGATATAGAACCCAAACCAAGAGGCCACCCAGAACTCATCGGCTTTGTCAGATGAGATAATGTCTATAAAATACTTTTTGAACCTTAAGATACCATGTAAAGTGATCCTTTTAGTATTTTGGGGGGGCAACTGGGGTTAAGTGACTTGCCCAGGGTGTAAGTATCTGAGGCAGGATTTGAATTCAGGTCTTCCTGACTCCAGGGTCGGTGCTCCATCCATTCAGCCACCTAGTTGCCCCGAGCATTTCATTTCTAAAGAGAGGTCTAGGGCTGAACGTGGAGCCTGGAACACTCATGAAAATCCCACCTCTGACACTCTGTAAGCACAGGGAAGTCATCGCCACTCTGACTCTATTTCCTCATCCACAAAAAATGTGAATAATAATATATTTAGTCTCTGCCTCACAAAGAGGGTGTGAGGAGCACAAAAATTTTGCTAAATTTAAATTAATTATATATATAACATAATGTTATCATATAATATATGACAAATTAAATAATCAGTGTGATTGTTGATTCTAATGAAGTCAAGTAATGCGGGAGGCAGGATGGTATGGATAGAGGGGCAGCCATGGAACTTGGGAGACCTGAGTTCAAATCCACACACTGGCTGTGCAAGATATAACCTCTCTGAGACTCGAGCTGCCAGGAAGGGGCGGGTGTACATTGGCAGAGGGAGCTTCCACACTGGGAGTCTCCAGTAGGAACAGAGTCGCATGCAGGTCTGGACTGCCTCTCCTTCCGCTAAAACAAAATACCTGCATTGGCTTTGAGGTCCTCTGGCGTGACCATGACCACAAAGCGGATGGCCCTCTCATTTCGAAACATCTCATAGGCCCACCTTCGAATCGATCGCATGCACTTAACGGCAGCAATGCCATTGTTGGCGATGAGAACCTGAGGGAAGAGACAGAGAGGAGAGAGACGGACGAAGCATCAGTACCAGGGGCATCTGGGGAATTAGTCCAGCCTGACCCTGGTCACCAGGCATCTCCACAGTGTGTGTAAATCCCAGGCTGGTAACACTACAGGTAGAAGGGACCATAGGCCATTTATCTAGATGCCCTCCCTGATTTTACAGATTAGGAAACTGAGGCTGAAGGAGGCAAGGTCACTCATTCAAGGTTATATAAGCAGTAATTCAAACCCAGATCCTTTGACTCCAAAGCCCACACTTTTATCCACGCTTGGACTCCCATCTAGGACATGGGCCATAGTTTACCTATAAAATGAGAATTTAAAAACCTACACTTCCTACCCCAACAAGAGTTGTGATGAAGCCTAGAGAACATAAGCTATAAAACCCTATATAAATGGGGGTAATTATCACTAGACTAGAATAAAACGTAACAATCGCATGTGACATTTTATTGAAACGAACACTTCAAGGATCCATGATTTGGTCGCTGGGTCAGTACCCCTTTGCCAACACAGATTGCGACACCTTCTCTGAGTAGAGGCTCTCTTAGGTATTATTATGGTTGCAAAATTCGTCCTCCTGGAACCAACCAGTGACCGATCCCTCTGAACTTGGCGAGGCTAGGTTTAGCTAGGAGACCCGCAACTGTCACCAGGCCTGCCACCCTACAAAGACCCAGTCACCCCTAAATCAAAGGACAATGATGACTATTCCCAATGACCTATGCTCTATAAGAGCTGATCCTTTTCATGTGTCACATCCAAACCTTCAAAGAGCCTTCAGGCAGAGGAGAAACGGTGAAAGACAGAGGGATAGAGGGGCAGGAGAGATGGAGACCTGGGTTCAAGTCTATTTATTGGCTGGTTGCATCAATCACATGGTGGAAGAAGATGGAAGCCATGGGCTGGGAAGTCAGAAGATATGGGTTCTAGTCCTGGCCCCGCTGCTAAGGGCAAATCCCATCCTTTCTGCAGGCGTCAATTTCCCCATCTGCACCACTGAAGGGACAATTCATCTGACTGGGGTCCATTGAGGTATTCTTAGGGGTGAAACCAAAAGTCCTGGGCGTGGCAGTAGGGGTGGGGTATAAACATCAGAACCAGAGTGGGACCCAGCACTCTGATGCTCCATGGACGCAGATCCCATCGTCTAAGCCTTGGGTGTGCACGTCCTGGTCTGAAATCCAGTCTTGTTGTGCTATGTTGCTAACGAAATTACAAGATTTAGAGCTGGAATGGCCAGAGGTTTCATTTACTCAAACGCCTTCATTTTATAATTTGGTAAGGTCTCTAGTGGCGTGCCCCAGGGATCTAGGATGGGCAGCATGCTGCTTAACATTTTATTAATGACTTGGTCAAAGGCAGAGACAGCATGCTCATCAAATTTCCAGTGATTTCAAGCTAGGACGGATAGCTCACACATCAAAGGGCAGAGTTGGTATCCAAAAAGCATGGGGCTGAATATAACAAGATGACGTTCAGCAGAGATAAATGTGAAGTCTTACACTTGAGTTCAGAAAAAAATTCATTTTATAAGCAGAGAACTGGAGAGGCATGGTTAGGTTTATATGAAAATGATCTGGGGGTCCTAGTGGACTGCAAGCTAGGACTGAGTCAGCAGGATGACATGGCTGCCAGAGAAACTACCCCGATCTTGGACTGCCCTCTGAGAGGCATAGCTCCCAGGAACAAGGAAGTGCTCCTCTCTCTGAACTCTGCCCCCCAACCCTTAACCACTTCTGGAAAATGTACTCAGCTCTCTGATAAGCTGGAGTGTAGCCAGAATGGTGAAGGTCCTTGAGTCCATGCCAGACAAGGAACTGGAGATGTCTGGCCTCACGGGATGACCAGGGAGGGTCAGGAGAGCCGGCTATCAGTACCTCCAAAGCTAGTAAGACTTGTTCAGTCTGGCTCCAGGTCAGAGAAGCAGGAGCACTGAGAAGGGGAAAAAAGACAAAGGCAGTCTAATAGTTCACATTGAGCTTGCAGGCCACTAAGACCTCCAGATCATTTTCAGACAAACTTCTTTCTCACCTTCCTGACTGAGATGGCAAGAGAAATCTCCCTGACCATAAGTGGAGGCGGCTGCCTCAGCAGCTAGTGGACTTTCCCAGGAAGAAGTTAGATGACCGCTGGTCTGGGAGAAGCGAAGCAACTCATTCACAGCACAGTCACACAGGGAATGAGTGTCAGAACAAAAATATGGATGGAAGACCTCTGATCAGAAACCCAGTGAGCTTGGCTCATTCTGCCTCCTCTAATCAAACCATATTTCCTGGCAGGAGACAAAGGCTGGCCGGCAATGTCCCATCCCATGACCTGGCTTCTCACGCAGCTCTCAGGGAAGTTCTGCCATGGACATTCCCGAGAACAAGGGAAGGTCAGCCTGCCTGCTTTGTGATGCCCAACAAGGTCGCTGGTTGATCCCCAAGAGTTTGGGGAGACACAAGGAAAGGGAATGAATTTTAAGCTGCTCAACAAAATCCCCACGGAGCAAACAGCTCCCTGACAGCCCTGGATGAGGGCCTTAAGTAGGTACGTTTAGCCCCATCTCACAGACAGGGAAACTGAGGCCCTGAAACGCGACCTGATTCACCCAGAGCCAGTGTTTGAACTTGGGTCTCCTACCTCCAGATCTTGTGCTTTTTTTCAGTACATGCTCCTTAAAAGGGTCACCCCTGCTTCTGAAGCCCCTTAGGAGCAGGGAGGGTCTCACTGTTTTCCACAGCACCTGACCTGGGGTCCTGCCCACAGTGGGCACCAAGTATCCATCAAGAAAATGAATAAGAAGCCCCTTTCAGGGATGAATTTGAATATCTCTCCCAATTAATTCCACAACGGGTCAATTTAATGATCACACAGACTCAGAACACAGAGACCGTATGAGACAAATTCCCTGCCTGCAAGCAGCTTATGCTCTAACGGCGGGAGACGTCATTCCCATTAACAGCCATAATGAAAGGTAGGACATGTTACATGCAAAGGAGGGATGTGCCAAAGGAAGGAGTGCCCCATGGGGGAGAGAGAAGATGGGATGGTGACACAGGGCGCCAGAAAGGACAGGTGAGAAGAAAAGTCAGGGTACAGAGCTAGGGAGGGACAAAGCAAGGCTCAGAAACCAGGCTCTCTGACCCTCGATTCAGGCTGGGAAGGGGAAAGAAGGAGGGAGAGGCGGAGGAGGGGGAGGGGAGACCCAGGCCCAAAGTCGCCACAGCAAGGGGGTGATGGAGGCAGCCATCAGCGCTGCAGGTAGGGGGTGTCTCAATACTGCCGCTGAGCCTGGGGGAAAATAGAATATCCGTACCTTTTCAATAACGTGATTCCCCCCAAAGCGAGCTACAAACTCAGCCGGAGAGGCGACCGTGAAGTCCCGATGAAGGTCCAATTTCTTCTGTTCTCGTCCTCTTTTCACCAGGTGCAGTCCTGACATGCTAGGCCTGTAGATGAAAGATGAAGAGTGGAGTTGGCAGAAATCTGGAGGCCTTGGCTCTCTAAAACACGCGGGTCAACACTTGGGGGGCTCAGTGGAGAGTGACCGAGAGAAGCTGCCCTGAGGAGGCTACCGGGGGCGTTGGAGCATCGGGAGCTGGAAGGAACCTTGGATATCTGGACCGAGTCTCTCATTCTACAAGGTGAGCAAAGAGGCCTAGGAGGGAGAGCCACCTGTCCAAAGTCCTGCAGCAAGCAAGCAGAGGGAGGCTGAGAACTCAGCTCCACCAGCTCCCAACCCAAAGGTTGTCCCATCGCTGGCCCTTGCACACTCAAAGCTGAAAGGCCATGGGGCACGCTCAAACGCCAAAGAAGAGGCGAACTGTCCGGTGAGGCTCCCTCTGCCTCCTCTCGCTTCTCAACTAAAAGTACAGATGAACACACACACACACTCTCTCTCTCTCCCTCTTCTCCTTTTCTCTCTCTCCTCTCTTCTCCCTTTCTCTGTCTCTCTGTCTATTCATTATCTTTTTCCCTGTCTCTGTTTTCTAGACTCAAAGGACAGGTGACAATCACTCTCTCTCCCTCTTTCTCTCTCTCTCCCCCTCTTTCTCTCTCTCTCCCCCTCTTTCTCTCTCTTTCTCTGTCTCTCTCTCTCTCCCCCTTTCTCTCTCTCTCTTTCTCTGTCTCTCTCTCTCTCCCCCTTTCTCTCTCTTTCTTTCTCTGTCTCTCTGTCTCTCTATCTCTCTCCTCTTTCTCTCTCTTTCTTTCTCTGTCTCTGTCTCTCTCTCTATCTCTCTCCTCCTCTTTCTCTCTCTTTCTCTGTCTCT